ATTGCGAACACGTCAGCGCTAAAGCCCGTTTGTGCCACCTGATAAATTAGCTCCGGACTTCCATCAAAGCAATTATAGAAAATTTGCTACGTGAATCAGAAATATTTTGGCAGATTTTTCAATACAGGGTTTGATGTTCAACATCCGCTCCCGAAATGTTTCAATATTGCCTTCAAAACTACATTAGAGCCTTCAATATTGTTTGGATACTTTACGACAGGTTTGAACCATTCAAATTCATTAATCCGCTATTTAGGAAGTGATTGATTAACGAATAATAACGAAATTATGCTCATTTTTGTAATAATGTTTTTCTTTACTAAAACACACGCCACAACAAAGCCGGCTGAAAACCTATTGTTTTTGCTCCCCGAATTTGCTTCCTTGCAACAGCGAGGAATAAATTCTATGCGAGAAGCTTACCTCGTTACGCTTGTTCGATAATGAGCGCTTCCAGGACTTGCCTCCTGAAATAATTCCATATGTCTTGTATTCTCGTGAGATACACTGTATTTAACACTCTTCGCTACACAAACTGATCGCCATGCACTGTTGGCAAGTTTGCAAAATATATGTACATATTTGTTGAATATAGCAAGGGAATTCGATTATTGGCACTTTTCATGGATGAACTTTTGAATTTGGAAAATTGCAACCTCTATATAAAATGACGTTGTAATTCGGAGTTGCGCATAAAGTAAAGAGATGATTAACACGGATTTAAAATTTTCTTGCATGAAGCAAGATCTTTCTTAAGTTTAAATGAAAGCATGTGAACTTTTATCGAGTTTGGTAACCTCAAGACACGAAGACTCTTAAAACTGGCTAAAGAGACCGTGAATTAGAATTAATGAGGTAATTATCTGTTGCAGAGGTAATTATAGCTCAGGATGAGTGGAATTTTAGTTGGCAAAACCCCACGCCTCATCCAGAATTTTCAGGCAATGTAGGAGGTTTACTCGATGGAGGGGTTGCCTGATGTCTAGCCTGTTAATTTTTATTCCGGGTTAGCCGCCTCCACCACGTTTTGAAACACAAAGGAAAAAACAATGTTCACTTCAGTGCAGCCTTTAGAGACGATTACTCTTGGTAAGGAATGACATGGCCTAATTATAGTGACGTGGCAAGCATCGAAACATAGCATCAAGGCTCCTAATGCTATATATTTAGTATCAGTTTACTAATTAATTTTCTCGATTTAAGTAATAGAAGAAGTAATAAATGCTCTAAAATGCAAGAGAATGAGTTCGTTTTTATATATCACGATATTGATGAAGGTGTCGAGCATAACTGAGTGAGCGCAGCAGCTGATATTGCCAGACTCGACCAATAACAGAGATGCCACCACTTGTCTTTATTACAATGAGGGAGCAATACAATGACGCTTGAAGTGAGATCCAAGCAGCAATAACCCAACAATATTGGTGCAATACTGCGAATGCTTCACATCTCGCTTCTGTGTTTTAGTACATCAAAAGCTCTAAAGAAGAGTATGATCGTATGTGGTTGATCAGTTTACGCTCTTGCATACGATCAACAATTTCAACAACGCTTCTAAAGAGAGAAAATTGATCAAGGTACGATGAAATATCAACACCTGACTAAACCAATTGAGTTGAAATATACATTATGTTCGCCTACAACATTGATCATGCAACGGAGCCATTCACTATACAAGAAAATACTGCAGCGTTGGGGGAGTATTGAATGTGTTTGTGGATCATTGAACTTCGAGACTCAAATGAAGCGGTCAGCGGACTTCAGAGCAAACTCATCACAAGTTTGTACCCCGTCCATCTTGATCCAATTTACTCGCATAATTATTTCGTCTCAGTGGAGCTCCTCATAAGATCTTTCTTCCCTCTGAACCATGAAAATGCTGTCCAATATTATGATTGTAAATTGAACTGCAATCGTCTCAATTGTACAAATGTAGCACTTTTCTGTTTTTTTTTTAAATTTAATAACGGCTTGATATTTTGTGTAGTACGTGGATGAAATCGATATTATTCAGGGTAATTATATATATTGACCCAGAGTGCAGGAATCGACGGTGTCCTTGTACAAGAAAATTTTTATTGCAAAAATGGCGGTATAATAATTACAAGACAACTTTAATATTTCACTTGTAGGTAGCGGAAAATGTAGATACATCGAGCTCCTGAGGTGTTCGGACTGTCGCAAAAAAGTATTGGGGATGTCTCAATTTGAAAGGCACTTCCATTTAAGTATCTCCCTCAGATTTCATGACACGAATGACGGTACTAATTTTTTAGATTGCTTCAAGAAATAAAAAATTTTATAATCGAGGAAATCCAAATAGTTCTCGAAGTCCCTAAAGATATCACGCAATTGAAAATAATGTTTATTAAACATTTACAAAATATTCTAATGAATCGCCTGCTCGTAATCTATTATAGGAGTTCAAAAATATTCTGTACAAACGTTAGTTTTGGAGAAAAAATTTGCCCTAGAAATTCAACCCAGAGAAAAACTTCTTCCTACAGTGCAAGGATTGTTTTTGTTTTATTATTTCTCCGTTTGAGCTCAGGATTGTTTTTGATCAACCCTGGAAATTCCGGCCACTCCAGCTGTATGGGCAGAGGCCGCGCAACTGCCGTAAACTGAGCGATGTCGCTAAAAATTTTGCTTAAAAAATTGTTAAATTTACCTGCAAAATTTGCGAAATATCGAAGATGAATCGAAATATTGAATCTTTATACCTACAAATTGTCGGCTGACTTAGAAACTGTTTATTACTCTTATGCGTGTTAATTTGTAGTTCTGAACCAACAACTTTCCAAGTGATGTAAGGAAAACAAAGATCAAATTCTTGACAGTCCGTTTTTATTTACTCGTCGTTATTTACCTTCCGAGTTCATCGAGGATGATGCCATGGTAGAATTCAACATGACTAATGCTAATTAACGTCAGTGCGCATTTAACAGCAATGTACATTTGAATACACATTATTATTATTATTATTATTCCACGAAGAGATTGTCGTGGCGTCTCGTTCGGATCGAACTTCGAGGGCACGTTACAAGTGGCTAAAAAAGACACGAGAGGATAAAAACAGATGACGTCTATGCTAAAACAAAGGACATATGCCAAGACTGACGACGTCTATGCTAGAACAAACAACACCTATGCTAAACCAGTAATATAAATAATAGATATACATTAATATACATTATACAGGTTTGGTTGAAGACTAGAGCGTACTTTTTATTTACGATTTTCTTATTGTTCTTTTCGATAAGCCGAACGAAATTTCTAGCTGGAGCTTGGAGATCAAAAAGTAGATTACCGAATGACATTTTATTGCAGTGCGACGTTTCGAATATATCAATATTCATTATCAAGCAAGTGAACAGTTATTACAACGCTAAAATTGAAATTTGGACATGACATAAGTTCATACAGAAAGTATCGTAGATACGGTTCAAATCGAAAATCAAATTAATCCGAGAATAATTTCAACGTCCTGACGAATCCCGCGGTCTGCAAATTGATAGCAGGAGACTCGTCCTTAATGATGAGAGCCTCCGCTATCAACAGTCTCGTTGTGTCGGGGCACCGCATGACGATGCTGGTGCAGGCCTCCAACGTGGCACGGGTGATGGTCTCGTTGTGGGCCTCACGCATATGATTCTTTGGTCCTCCAGCTTGCAGATGGCATGTGAGTCTGCGGCTCAATGTCGTGCTAGTCAAACCGATGTAATTTACATTTTGGAGAAGTCTACAACCTTCTTTCATACAGGAAAATTTTGTAAACGACATTGGTTTCTTGTAGCGGTCCGGACTTTTTACATGGGTTGTTTTTCATGATCAAATTCTTGATCTTTTTGTTTCTGTAATAAATCAAAAGTTGTATTCGGTCAGTTGCTGTAAATAAAAAGTACGCTCTGGTCTTCAACCAAACCTGTATAAATGAAGAACTTCTGCCTAACTACACTAATATACATTAATGCATATTTTCTCATTGATTCACTAAAATGGTTCTTGCATTCTCCGTATTTCATGCTTACTTCCATGAGGTTTACCAAGAAGAGTTAGTGCCACAGTCACCCTATGTGATGGCTATTTTATAGATGGTTCACTGAAATTGTTCAAATCGGTGCATCTCACCGATTTTGTTATCACAGTGAAGATAACAAAAGCGTTATGCACGAAGACCGACCGGATCTGGTAGAATTTTCGCCGCTCCTAAGGCCCGTCGATGGTGTTTGTCAGTAGCGCAACGGCCTCGATAAGTCCAGATCTGCGGAACTGCAGCCAATCAACGCGCGGATGAACTCCTGAGCATCTCCTATTGAACTCGGCTTACGCAGGATGCCAGAGTCTAGATTGATTTCAGAGCCTCTCAATGTGGGAGATTTGCTGCACGAGGAAATATTATATGATATATTATGGCGGAAATAAAGTTTTTCAATAATTATGCCATGTGCACTTTTTTATTTTATTTTTTTTCAGGTTTTTCTAAAGAAGCATTCATTTTCATTTGGCATTAGTTGACTGTCCTTGTGGCCATGGCCGGTGCAATAGATATTGTTCACAAGATCAGGTTAGACCTGGATTAGCTGAACAAAACCATTAACTATTCTAATAAATACCGCTACCTATCTGACGATGTCGGATAATATTCTGCAGGGAATACAACCTTGTTAGGTTGGGACGCGTGGGGAAGTGCATTCGTTATCTGTTGGTTATACTCGGAAGGCTCAGGAAAACCTCTTAAGAACTGTAGATGTAATAATAACATTTGCAGTAAAGCGGCCTGCGCATCGAGTTGCGACGGAGATATGGTAATTAGATCCAATACCAGATCTCAAATAGATTCAAGCATTTCGTGCAAATCCTGTTTCGTGCAAATCCATTGGGGTGGATTATAGAACTAAATTTGGGTTCCCTATAAGACGTGATTAACTGCAAGGCAATTTCTTTACCATAGATTGTGAAAGGTTCCCGATAACGTTATCAATTATTGATACTGTGGTGCCCAAGTGGCAACACTGGCAACAGGCAACACTGCATCACACTTGAAATCGGAGAACCGCTATCTAGACCGAGATTGTAAGACCAGTCGTCACCGGGGTCGGACGTAAGGCCGCCTCCTAGTAGTAGCGTAGCAGTCTTTCAATATTATTTTTGCAGTTAATTATTCTGATAGTTATTTATTCTTTTTGTTGCAGATTCTGTTTATCGATAGGAAAATTCCCCGATAAATTCGGTATAGACCTCATCTGAGGTGAGTTCCGTTATTTCCACTTGTTAAAATGCGATTGTTAGCAAACTGTCATATTGTAATAGCTAATAAGATATCTTTATTTATTTGTAATAAAACTTGTATCCTCTACAGGTCTAAGAAGTAGGAGGAGCAATTAAAACTCGAATAAAATATTGTTTCCGTTCTACTCCTCTTCAATACCATTTCCATTTATTGTAATTTGATCGTAAACTCAGCGATATGTTAGAATTTGTGTTTTTTTGTGAAGTAATTGATTCTTATTTTTTAGGAAATTTGTGCGTGGCGAGCAGGAAATGAAGTTGAGGCGATACGTCAATAGTCACATTATTTACGTACATTCATTATAGATGAATTACAAAAACACTTCTCGTTTCAAATAAAAATCTTTTATCAACCTGAATAACATTGATTATAAATTAACAAGGATTCGATGAATTTATTGGTTCATTATGCTCATGCATTCACAAGTTGAATGGGTTCTAAAGCCTAGGATTCGACGGCAGGAATAGACTAGCACGCATCTTTAATTTGATTAGTCCATTGAATCGCGTTTCTGCGGGCTCAGGCCAACATAAAGGCTTCTCTGGGCGTCGCTGGATGAAATGCATCAGAGATATTCAGCTGAGCCAAAGACATGAGAGCAACTCCTGCAGAATAAAGATCTGACAAGAATAGGAGCAGGGCTGAGATTGCCATAACAATGATCAGGATTTGGGCCAGAAACTGGATTATGAGTGGCGAAGAAGCTCCATGGAGCCAAAGCGCCATATGCAAACTGCAGTGTGTGTTTGATATGCAAACACAGAGTCGGCAGAGCGTGTTGTTGCCTTGCCAATTGACAGGCATCTGATTTGTACATTTAGTGAATCGGAAGCTTAATCCCTTGCCTATTGAAAAACAATATTTGAACTGATATATAAATTTGCGACGTGCTGCATAACATGATTAAAAATTTAAGACGATCTTTATGTAGGAAAACAATTCAAATTTGATGTTGGAAAAACAATAAATTCTTAGACGGCATGAAATTGGCGAGCTTTCAGTTAAACTTAATCTCTTTCTCAATAAAACGCTGGTAATAAAATGGTTCGTTGTCTTTAAAGAATTATAATTTTTTGTCGAAAGATGAAGAATTGTTGTTGAAGATGAATATCACGAGACAGTTTTTTTTCCTTTTAGATAAATAGTAAAATTACTGTTCGTTTTACTGTAAATAAATAACCTGGGTCACGTTTAATCCAACTTTAAGGTTATACTAAATTTTTTGTTTCATTGTAAAAAATACGGTCATCGACGTCGTGCTATTCGTATCGGGACGCATATAGTGACTCAAGTGTTCCAGAAAGCGGTAAAGTTTGTCCCTTATATTTTATGATTACATAACAAAGGCAAGAGCTCGTTCTGAGTGCCTAACACACCGAGTTGAAATGTTTAGATAGATGAGTATGAGTAGTGATAAATATTTAGAATCTAATATGATGATAAGTTACTCATATAAATAAATTTGTATGAGCTAACTTTACTTTTTTGTTACTTACTACAAGACATGCAGTTTTTTCATATATTTTGAACCTGCGATTGCATCACCATCATCATTTTGATGAATCTGACTTCTGACATGGAAAATTTTCGAGGACACAATGGCATTATATGTGTGCCACAAATTCAGAATTCACCGCAATAAGGAAAAGGCATACAAAAACGTCTGGACAACATCATTTCATTAAAAATGTGGAAAAAATTCTGGAAAATGTGGCGCGATATAGTGATTTAAAGATCGTAAAGCGAATGAAGGATTCGATTACTTACTTTCGTAATTGTGATTTTCACGTTGCATTTGAAAATTGATAAGGAATGATCGAGAATTTAACCAACGCAAATGATTTGCTTAATGCCTTAATAAGGTTCAATAAAAATTATAACAAGTTTATCTCTTTGCTTCTACGAATCGAAAGAGCTAATGAGTATATTCCATATATTTTGCACTGCTATCATTGAGATTCCAAACTCAATTGGTAAAGAGCTAAAAGTACCGAGGGGACGGCACTATATATAGGATTGATTGTCCGCTGGTCAACTTTTCTCCACGCAGCTGGGGCGTTCGACTCGTGAAGCTAGTTTTTTCATTATAACAGTAGAATTAAAACGGGGTTTTTCCACACAATTTCTGGTTTAATAAGCGGGCATTAGCTGTAACGCTTGTTGGACCGTTTATATTTAGGACGGATTTTTGAATAGTGTTGAGTTATAGACAGTTGAGAGTGGGTTCAATTGTTTGTTTGCCTCATTGGTGCTGTCTCATCGCACTTTAATTTCACAAGATACTTCAGTTATCAAAAAAGTTTAATTCCAAATTAATGAGTTTCATACAAATTTTACTCAAAATTTATTTTTCTTAAATCAGGGCGCGTCAAATGCCAAGAAATAACATGATTCTATGAAACGACAAACGCACGCTGCATGCTGTCATTAATAAACATCACAACCAATGTCATTAATAAACGGAAGAACTCTGTAATTAGCGAATAATTGAGAAAGCAAATATCATTCTGCGCTTGAAAGTTATGTAATTGCCTTGAAATTATACTAATATATTCATGAGGTCGACCGTTTGCAAGTTGCAGGCCTAACCTTCAGCTGAATTGTTGCGTATAATTATGTGGATCATTTAATACTATAGTGTGCTTAACGATAGTTTAGATTTATTGAATACTTCTCCCTAAATTACCAATTATCATTCAGAAATAAAAAGTTTTGCGAGATCAGGTTGCAAATATGTTAATTATCAGATTCTCTATGAAACAGCGGCATTTACTCGAAAGCAGAAAATGATTATTTTATTTGATTTGCTGATGATGATGAATGATGCATTATCGGAAAAAATTATGTTTCTTTGTCTTTTCCTCAATACTCGCTAAAAATTAACAATATTTACGCCAACCCTGTAATCTAAATATTCTATCACCTGAGTTCTTTGTTGTCAATCTCAGTCCCAGGTAAGGAATATAGATTTTATTTTAACTATTCGTCTCCAACTAAATTAAAACGTGTGAATGATAACACAATAATATTGAAGCTTCACATGGATGTTCCCTCATAAAACATTACATCTTCAACTGTTATGCAATTGCGGCAGCTTGCCATTGTGAGAGAGCAATATTGCGATGCAAGGTTTCTGATATTGGAAAGAACGACGTCCATGCAATCTTAGGAGCTCTTTCAGTGGTCCTGCTATTTCTTGTGGTCTAAAACGGAAAGCGGTATACATTACTCGTGACAAATGGCTTCCATCAATCGTTTGTCTAGAGTTAACAGGGAGAAACGGGATTTTTCATGGAACACGCGTAATTGAGGGAAAGAAAATTAACACCTTCGTATATAAAGTATGTTTTATTCACTGCAGTGTATCGAGGTAGTGATGGAATACAATTTTCCAAATATTATTTATCAGCAACATTAAACCAAGAAGATCATGTAGGTTAGTTTAATCCTCGTTGCGTCTACAGTGTTTTTAAAGTCTGAATTATTGAACTGCTTTCAGATTATTGAAATTGTATAAGCGCGAGGAAGAATGTAGCTTTTCAATTAATTTGGGATCACTAGTGAAATATTATTGCACATTTACTGTTTATCTTCCCAATGAGTTTTACTGCTTTCAAATCGTTGCACTGATCTACACACAAATAAAATAAAAGATTCGATTAATAAAAAATATTTGCTGTATGAGTATTTTTTCCTATACATTATTTAGTTCATCAATTTAATACTAGAAGCGTCCAAATTCTCAAAGCTTTATCACCTTCACTCTATGGGGCAACGCTCACAAATACGCTCGGAAATGCCAACTTCATGAATGCCTCTTCCACGACCATAACAGCCGATCCATTAGCAGTAATGTTTTAAAACTCGTTTTGCGACACAAATAATGACCTACATCGAGTACTGCACATAAACCATGAATATAGGAAGCGATATGGGCATATGGCCATCAAAGTTGAGCTGGGCAATACGACAGATGCTGTCATACTTGCTGATTTGCATATTTTTATTTGAGTAAAGGGGAGGCAGCGCAGTTTATACGGCGCCGCGTTGCCGCCGGCTTGGAGGCAACAAATGCGCATAAAATGCGACGCCGAAATGCGCTTTAGATAAGGCGGCATCCCGACGCTCTCATACAGGAGAGAATCAGGCGCTTTTACTGATGCATGAGGTGAAGACAAACCTGCATATTATTGCAATATCAAAATTTACGGTAAATTGCTGCCGGCAGTTTCATCTACTTATGGAACTTCAAAATTGCATTCAAGTTTACTATTACGAAATATGGTAATGTTTCTTGCGGAAAAGATCAGAGACGCAGCATTGTGTGGCGAAAAAGTTTTAACTGCTTTTTAAAATAAGAGGTTTGCACACCTAAGCTTTCCGAATTTTTGTCCAATTTCTATGTAATCGTACTTCTACGAATTATCAAAGTTGATATTGATAAAAGTTGATATTATTAATAAAAATTGATATTAATGCCTTTTGACAATCTAAAATGAACTTATTTTATGAATCTACTTGAATAGAATTTACTTTGAATAAGAAATATATATGGGGATTTTCATAAGAGGTTTTCAGTTTGGAATGAACCGAGACTCTAACTTTCTCATAAGGTTTCCAGAACGAAAAACCGTGCCTGTGCACTCTGCCCATGTTTTTAAATTGATATGCAAATTATACATGAATCTTGACTTTTTTGACTCATTGCAAGAAAAAACTTCTAATCTTTGGACACAGTTTCGGATGTCGATCCGGAGTACAGTGTGTTAGTAAGAAATAAATGACTGTTCTGCTATCAACCTAAGGATCAACTTCAAAATATCCCGTTGAAATGAGTTATTTGATGTGGGTGCTCGAAATACTCATACAAAGCCAACTAGACAAAGAAAAGTCTGAAGCCGCCGTTAGATTTATTTTACGATCGTGATATGTAAAACTATTGGTAGCTACAAGCTCAATGGTTACTTTGATAAACTTCAGTTGTAAGGTAAGATGATTATAATCAAAGAAAATTTAAACGAGAGAAGGCTGATTGAGGATTTGAAACTTATATAACATATCTATTATGTTTTATTGGCGTGAAATCAAGGGCACAACTAGACAGACAA